TTAATTTACAAGGAATAATTACACTCGAATTCAATGATCAAGTAAGAGTCAACTTCGACTAATATTCTTTTTATATCCTAACTGAATTGATCAATTAATTTTAGCTCAAAGTTACAGAATGGAATCAGTATTATGATGCAGGAAATCTTTGAGGCGAAAAACGTTTCGCTCAATTGTGGGCAAACGAAAAATCTCCTCGAGATCTTGTCTCGAATTGGACACGATCTTGCTATTATCCTACCGCGATTCCATCACTGTCTAGAAACACAAACGAAACCGGATCGCATAACGAACTTGATCAAGAACCCGATTCCGATTATAAGATCGCGATTTTATTCTGTCATGATCAGCATTTTTTCGTTACACGGGAAAAAATCAGGTACCGTGGTACTCTGACATAGTTTGTATCGATTTTGAGTGAGTTATGAAATTTCCAATTTTACGTGAAAATAGGCAAAAATGGGGCTATTTTATCTAATCTAGGTTTTTACGAGATTTTTGAATTTTTCCCACAAGCCAACATTGCCCTGAGAGTCTGGAGCGGCGATAACCTATGTTTCAAGTGTTTTAGGAGCTCCCACACATGTAGTTTAGCCGATAAGTAGGCCTTCGGAAAATGCCTGTAACTCCCGAACCAGAAGCGATAAAGAGACGGTGCTCGTGCAGTTTTAAAGAGCATACTTCAGAGGATAGAATCAGAATTTCCAAATTAAAAATCTGTGTTTTGCCTGAAAAATGGACACCTTTCGGACTTTGTACAACCGCATTTACCATGGTAGACCTTGTTCGGAGCCATCCATTACGCATAGATTTGTAGTCTCGATAACAAACATGCGCATAGTGGAAACCGCATGTCTCCAGCTATTTCGTATCAAAAGTTATTTTAAGAAAATCCGATTCCATTCTATTTTCGGATTCTATTGAAACGGATAGTAGATAGTCTAATTAAATTCTCATATAAACAACAAGCAGGCAAAAGGTGATTTTACTTAAGAAAGAAAACATTTCTCAATTTAGAAAATTTCATTTTTCTTACTTTTTCTATCTTACCTTTTAGTTCAAAAACGCTAAAAACTATCACACTTTGATCAGTTTTTTACGTTCTTTCGATTGATATATAGTTCGAACTTTGGAAATTGATATATACTTTGAAATTGTACGAATACTTTGAGGAAGAAAATGAATGACCTTGGTTAAAATGACGACGAAAATGCTACGACATTTAGGAAAGTACGAGTAGTTTCGGAAAGCCAGAGGTGTTGGGAAATGGAAAAGAAAGGATTTTCAATCATTTTGGCTCAAAATCACATTGGGCCATTTTCTTACATAAAGTGTTTCTCCTCCCTTTAGCATTTTCGGGTACAAACGTCAGGAAAAAATTCAAAACATTTTTTCTTAAAACCTACAAGTCCGAAAATCGAAAAAATTACTGAATACACACCTGAAACTGTGCTCTAGAAAGTGGCAGAAAAGAACGGGATGGGAGACCCCCCGAATAGCTCTGGAACAAAGCTATCTACAGATTTCCGGTGCTCACCAATCAATCGCCAAGACCTGGGCACGCAGTTTCATAATAAAACGAATTCCGAAGACGCTTTCTGCCATCACACTGTATTACTGTTTAAAGGTGAATGGGCTACATCGGTTCCATCTCTATACCCATTCAATTATGTTCTGTACCGGGCATGGTGTCTTGATTCCCAGATTTGCGATTTCTGTTTGCTGCGGTTCATTTGCGAAATGGGGCAACATCAACATGAAGAATATAACTACGGGATGCAAATCGTCACAAGAAAACGTTCTTGCTAGAATGCTCAAGATCCCATGACAAAACGCCAACGGTTGACGAAATTCGCGACAGACTTCAATCTCTAGAAGTCTCCAAAAATCACTGGTAATCACCAGTAATCACTCGAAACCACTAGTAATCAAAGCAATCAAGTAATCAGTTTTTTCTCCCTTGGGTATTGGTCAGTTTGTAACATTCGACATCGAGTTCTTCGCACAAATCCCTGAAGGTGATTCAAGGGTTTTGCGAAAAACTCGATGTCAAATGATACAAAATGATCAATACCACCTTATGGCCCATAGTCGCTTTGTCATTGTCAAACGGTTTTTTTCGCAAAATCTTTGGGGAGAAAAGTGCTCTTTTCTGTCGCCCATTTCTGCTTGATCCAATGCGTCCTTTCGAAAAAACGCGAAAATACTTGAACACTGAAACGCTAGAGTTTGATCGGATGGTACTTGCAGTCTAGCTGCTTCCGCTTTAGCTACTTTTGTTTCGTGACTGTCAAATGCTTACTTTTTCTGCATTCCTTCTTCGTTGAACAATGCAACTCGTAAAGGAGCATACACAAAAAAAAGTGAAGTTATCAAATTGAATGGTAGTTCTTGTTCATAAAATCAATTGGTTCAAACAATTTGAAAGTCAAATAACATATTTAAAAGAACTCGAAATTTAGTTGCTTGTTCACCGTTCCTCGATCCGCATGCTTATCCGTATTGTCCATCCAAGCTTGTCCATTTTCCACCTTGCTTCGATAATAAGCTACCAATTCATCGTTACGACCACCAGTATACGGTTCCGTGGCAGCTAGTACAGGAGTGCCATTGGAATCTTTCATTTTATATTTTTCTGGTGCATCGCCGTAAAGATCTTGAGAAAAGCCTCGGTTGGCAGTGCCGTCTTCACTGGATATCTTCGCGGCGCCATTGTAGCCTCGAATCAAGCTGATATCAGCAAAAGTCATGTCTTGCCATGCATTGAAATGGAATTCTAGCCACGTAGCAGGATCTTCTGGCTTTCCACTCAACTTTTGCGCTCGTCCTTCCCAGCCTTCGGCCAATTGCACATGCTCACTACTTGCACCAGGTCCGATATCGATTATTTTTTCCGCGTCAAACGACGGTTGAAAATCTCCAAGGTTTTTGAACAAGCCAACCTTGATTGGACCGCTACCCGAATTTTTTATCTTGATCGAGTTCATGCCTTTAGGAAGAAATAATCAGAAAGAGGCCATTACAATAGAATAATCATTTAGAAAGAAAGAATTTCCAAGATAAAAGCTGAGTAAAGAACTATAGTTATTCTTGTCGTGGTATGAGATTTGACACGTTTGTCGAAAGTTAATGCAAAAAAAGAACCCATGAAAAATTCTAATATATCGAAACATGACGACTTGAATAGAAAGTATGAGCAGTCGCAGTGAATATGTATATGATCCTATACTCCTTCACTGAAAATCTGAGGGGAATGGGAGACACAGTGAAAAAAGAAGAGACCACATCCATCTGGCAAGTATACCGATGGATGTAATATGCTTATATCGTGGGAGAGAATGCGAAAAAATGTGCGATAGCGCCGCTACGGAAGGAGTAACACAATGAAGTGACAGGTGATAAAGAGATAACTGCACTTAAGTATTCTTTTGATAGTACCTCGACGTTACATCGCCTGAACTGGTTGTTAACTTTAAATGATTTCCTGTTCAATTCTATACGAGTCTCTTCTCATCGAGTATAATGCTGATAAACACGAGAGCATATGGTCTATTCAACCAGGAAAAAGTGAGATATGCAGAAAAGAAGACATCTTACTCCACCAAACGGTTTTAACGTGAAAAAACTGACGCGCTGATGGTCACCACCACTTTTCAAGGGCTACGCATTGAGTCGCTTAATTGCTGCTATGTCTCTTACTCATGGACAAAGGTTGAAAACGAATAAGAACTGTATGCGTTTGTGGTTTCGATCGAGTTGTGATATATGCATTTTCCTGAGACAGTTTGACAAAATCAACATAGGATGCTAGACTTCCTTATCCGTTATCTCACTCTTTATCAAGGCAGTCAAGAAACTATCAATTAATATCCACATCGCTCATTCAACGAATGCTTGCATCGACAATAGTACTAATAATCATATCATTTTTACGTGGGAGAGAAAAAATGAACCTTTCTAATCTATTCGTTGAGTTGTAGTCGTGCTGGATTGTGGGCGCCTTGGAATACGAAAGAACTTGGATGTGTGTTAAGCGAGATGAACCGAAGTGAATGTACTCTATAACAGCGTTGCTTTATGGTTCTAACTAGATATAAATACACATGCTTGACGTATTCCCATTCTCTGACAGGGAAAAAACCCTTTGCTCATTGCAAAT